GACCTCCTACCAATGAAAGCAATGATCAATCAAGCATTGATCACTTCACTCTTCCACACTCACAGGCTTTCCCCTGAAGAATAATGCCCTGTCCCATACCCTGCCCCAATGCTCCAAACCAGCTATTGCTGGGACTCCAAGCTGTGAGGCACCTGAAATCCTGACAAATGACAGCTTTAACTGCCACCTGAAGTGGCTGTGCCTGGTATCCCTGGGGTGATGGAAGTGGCTACCATGCCAGGACCTGAACAATGGCAGCGTTCTCTAGCACTGGACCAGTCTGTGCTTGGGCCCCCACAGAAGAACATATGGGATTGCCCCAGCCATACCAGCAGTGCCTCAGGGGGTGTAGGCATGCAGGGCAGCAGGACTATGGTATGATTCTGTGTGTTAGTGCCCTAAAAAGTTGTTCCAGGGGCTTAGACCTTGGATGTGAGGATGGGAGCCTGTCCCTAGGCAGCAACCAATTTCCACAGGCCAGGGCAGCCCCCAGTGTGTATGGAACATTTGGAGAGGGAGGAAGGGGCCAGGAGCATGGGCAAAGTGGAGCAGTGAGCTGCCATTGCTAGACAGGCCGGTTTGGGGATGAAGCAGGGCACTTCACAAGCATGGCAGGGGACCATGGTCCTCACAGCACTCAAGACATCCCTACTCCAAATGTTCTGTAACTTCCAGCATTAGATTTTAATGTGGATCTTCTGCTAGTCCTGCTGGTATGCTCAAGCCACCATCTAGGCAATGATGAACTCATAGACCATCTGGTTTGTCAGCTGTCCTTCCTGACCTTGGCAGTGCTGGCAATGATTCTCTCCTCACAATGTAGTCCAGCACCTCATCATAAGTCCAGTAAACGGTCTTCCTGAGGAGTCTGAGGAGGACCTTCTCTGGTTTGGATTGGAAGCTAAGTGTTCACTGTCTGCACCAGAGTGCCCAAACAAAAGGGACAGGCCTTGGCAAATATTGCAGTTTACAGTGGGTGCTCAAGTGATGCCATGTGGGTCAGGGTCACACCTAGGAGTGGGTGCAGGTGTTGCCTGGGGATTAGTGCCACCCCCCTGGGCAGTAGAGCTTGGGCAGGTGAATAGATCATTCCCTGGAGCAAGAGTTGGGGGGTGGGCAGGGCTGGGAGTGGTGTATTCTGGAATCCTGGAGGAGCACAGATTACTCCTATTATCTCTATAGAACAAGCTGATGGTAGCTGAACATAATACAATCTATAGATACTCCTTACCCAAAAAGTTGTGTTTGCTATGATACAAGCACACTTAGCACGTTATCTGCTGCTTGATCACATGGACACTAAAATTTTAAGTGCATTTAACATATATAAGTGGCATGTGCAACATTGTTCTTTATCTTCCCGGCAGTTCTCCACACCTCTGCCACTATCGCATTCACCATCAGAGGCTGATAGAATAGCCCACTCTCCTAGTTTGGAGCAACAGGACCGATTCAGTCTCTGCACTGGGACTCTCTACTTTCAAACTTTAACAGCACTCTAGACGTTAGGTTACAGAATAAATGTTGTAGTTTAGATTGGAGAATAAATGTTGTAAAGCCAGAGTGAGAGCAGTGTCTGCAAGATTAGCCATTCTTACAGGAATGAGTGCTTATCCAAGTTGAAATACAGAATTTTTTGAGGTTCACTTACTGCTAGATTATACGCACCACCAGGTTAGGATTCTCATCGTCTGTAGTTCTTTCAAAAAGATTCTTGTCTTTCTGTAGTTCCTTGGTCTTTCAAAGAGAAGTAATTGTGGAGCAATAGTCAATGTTTATTTCAAGAACAGGCTTATTAATTTTCAGTAAATAATGTGTAAAGTTTTAAAAAGTGACTTTGGTACTCAGAAGTCTAAGTCCCAAGGATAATTTATAAATATGTCATAGTATCATGTACTGCATTTTAAGCAAATATCTGTATTATTTTCAGTCTTTACAACTGAGCAGATACTCACATTTAGATTTTTTTACAAATGTCAGTTTCTGTTGTTTAGAAAATATATATAAAATTAAATTTATCCTGATTACTTTTGTTTTTAGTGCCAGCAGGTGAAGAAACAATATCTTTTTTGTATGATTTAGTTTCTTCAAAGTTGATAAACTGAATAGGAGTTGAAAAAGCAGAAATGCATATTTCCTTCTTCCAGTGCCTTGTTAACAATGAGGAATGCTCCAACAAAGGTGTATTTTCAGATAAAGGGTGATGACTCCAATAGGAGAGGCGGAGAGAAACCCGTCCCAATAGCTTGGTGGTTAGGGTACTTACCAAGACGAGGGAAATGGCAGAGTAGAAGCTTAATCATGGATTTCCCACATTTGAGGGAAGTACTTTAAGCAGTAGGCCATTTCAGAGTGAGTCTTCCTCATTTCTTCTTTCTAAAGATGATGGTTTTGTTCTGGTGCAGACAGGTAATATTTTGAAATCTTTAATTGTTTATGGGATGGAAAAACCACTGCTACCAAGTCCGGAATTCTAGAATTCCTTTTGAAACTGAAACTAAGGTTCCATGGGTATGTTAGAAAAATGTATAAAATCTTAAAAAGTCTTTAGATGAGGTTCATAGTCCTTCACAGCAATGTATCTGCCGCACAGAGGAAGAAGAAATAAAGGAATATTACAAAAAAGAAAACATGGTGTGGTAAAAACAATGTATTTTCATAAGCATGGAACAGCAGCGTTGCTTACATCTCAAACTATTGATAAAGCTTCTATATACCACTGAAACATGCCAACATATATTCTGTATGTATGCCTCACATTTTAAAAGAAGAACTAATTCAGAAATGTTTTAAAGCTATTTAAAATGTTATTGATACCATGTTTCATTTTCCTTCTTCCTATAAAACCAAAATACTTTAGTTGCTCTAAGCATAACTATAAAGACCTCAGAGAGAAAAATACATAGCTATAAATTTTAGAAACCTCTAACAATTACACTATAATACTTCTGGCTACTTGCAGACATTAAAAAAAAAACCCAGCACTTAAAACTGTTCACTCCTGCCCTGCACCCAGCACATGCCCAAAAGAGGCAGTGTGTTATTTGGACCCAGCTCACTCAATGTCTGTATAGATTGGGCACTTTAGTGGGCCTTTTTTGGTGCTTTATCTAATAGCTGGTTGAATCAGCTTTAGATAAAAATGCGAAAAAGCTCTGCTGAAGTGCCCAACCTATACAGATGCTGCACAGCGAGGTAAAAGTAATGCACTGCTTCTCCCGGTAAAGTGCAGTTTTGGGGGGGGGGGGGTTACATTTGCAAGCACCTTTCATGTCCACCGTAACATTGAAGTTCTAAGTTCTAGTATCTGGGAGCCTTCCAAAAGTTGCCAGGCCAAAAAGGCCATGAAATATCAGATTTTAAATTTCTCACCTATTCAGGGTTAAATGACACTTACCCTACCCTCTTAACAAATTACATTCTGAAGGCTAATTCTGCAATTGGTATGGGTGGTGGCCAAGTGGGTGGTGGCCCATAGCAAGGCTATGTTTATTATATAGTTCACTACCACTACATGTGTTCTTTGACCTGATGTGTATGTTTAAAATATGCAATACTGTTGTAAGGATAGCAGTTTCCTAACAAGCCTTTCCAGCTAGTAAGAGAAACTTTTCTCATTTTTGAGAACTCTGTTAAGACTGCTTGCTTGCTGCCGGTGATGGGATTTCTTCTGAGTTTTCTTCACTCCTGACACTTTATACCTGTTTATTTTTTTTAAAGCTGTGCCACCTAGTTACCCCCTCTTTTCTAACAAGTGAAAAGAAGATAGTTGAAGTGTTCATTGTTCTAAAGTACTAATGGCACACTGGCTAGGTGAGGGATTTTTTTTTTTTTTTGTATCTGCTAGTATCTTTCATGGTAGAAGAATCAGCTGTTGTTATGTGTGCCCTCTTGGATTTTGTTTCCTGTTACTTGTGCACTGTACCTTTTTTCTCTCTTTAATCTCGCTAACCATTATGCTTAATTATGTAATTACACCTTTAAAAGGGGAAAGCACTTTACGCTGATGCTGGGTGCACTTAGGCATACAGTAAATAGGCTATGTAAATTGCACTTTGGATGATAGTGTCAGAAAAAAGGGAGGAGGAGGAATGCCTGTAGCACATTCAGTTAGAAAAAGAAAATACATACACTCCTTCAGTATGTTGTTTGCTAATACTCTTGGCACTAAAGTGCACAATAAATAGGAAGGTACCATAAGTTGGGAGTGAAATAAAAGCCAAGATCAAAAATGCTTGACTGTCCCGTGGTAGTTGCTCAGTGTTGTTCTACTATTAATGGACCCCTGGAAGGGCTAGGTTGGGAAGAAGTTTGTTCAAGTCACCTGAATAAGTCCTAGAGTTCAGACATTTAGCAATTTTTCAAAAAGGTAGCTTTGAAAATAAGAGATGGAAAAAATAGATGAAACATTTAAGTATAGGCCAACAGCTCTGGTGCTTTTCATTATGTCAGTCTTGACTTTACTGATAGTGAAGTACAGTATGTGTAGACACCATATAGTAGCCCCACTGGTAAAAATAATCCTTATTGTAACATCCCATGTTTCATAAGAGCTGCTTAATCTAATTTTTGAAGTTATGCAGGCATAATGTTTGCCTCAGGTTTGAGAAGAGCTTAGATCCACCAGTGTCTGGCCATAATCCAGAGCCAAAAGCAATACACCATATGGTGATCATTATCCTTAAGCACTGAGCTGAGTTGGCTTTGCTGGGGAGGGAAGTATTTATTTCCTGTCTCTGGAAGATATGTCAGTGGTTTAACAGTGCTCTACTTCCTCCACCGTTCTTCTCCCACCTTTCAGAAATCCAGGTGGGCTCTGGAGACTGAAGCATGAGGCTCAGAGAGGTTTAAAAGGAATACGCTAGTAGGGATACTGTTCAGTCAACCATTTTCACTCAGGTTAAATTAGAACTCAACTGTTTTAGCTCAACTCCGATTGAAAATATTTACATTTAATATGGCTTGTATCTTGTCATTGTTTGGTTTCTTCTTTTCCTTAGCCAAAGAAGCATGAGGAAGAGGATGGCACAACAGACACCGCAACTTCTTCATCCAACAACCATGAGAAAGACAGTGGAGTGGGGCCTACAGATGAGAGTCTACGTAATGATGAGAGCTCGGAGCAGGAGAATGCACCTGAGGAGCAGAGCACTGCTGCCCTACAAAGCAAGCGGGAGCTGGGCCAGAGCCAGGATACTTTAGGAAGTGTTGAACTCCAATGCAATGAAAGCTTTGTGTCTGGGGAATATATTGAATCAGATTTTGTTAGAAACCAAGATGAGGACTGTGAAAGGTTTCGGCAACTCTTGGAACTCAAATGCAAGATTAGAAACCACGGTGAATATGACTTATATTACTCAAGCAGTACAATAGAGTGTAACAGAAAGGAACAAGATGGGGTGGAGCATGAGCTACAGTTACTCAATGAGGAATTGAGGAATATTGAACTCGAGTGTCAGAACATTATGCAGGCTCACAGGCTTCAAAAGGTGAGGGATCAGTATGGAGATATTTGGTCCTTACATGATGGAGGATTCAGGAATTATAACACCAGCATAGATGTACAAAGAGGTAAGCTGGATGATATCATAGAGCACCCTGAGAAATCTGACAAAGATAGCTCCAGTGCTTACAACACAGCAGAAAGCTGCAGGAGCACTCCACTGACTGTTGACCGATCTCCTGATAGCTCACTCCAGAGAATGATTAGCATCACCAATAGGAAAAACTTGAGAAGCACAATTGTAGCTAACCAGTTGTCTTCTGGACAGAGTAGCAGGGAGGCAACCCCAACCAAAACCAAAACTACTGAGCAAAGCAGTACTGTTGAAGATAAGGTAATGGTTTCAGAAAGCAGCAAATTCACAGACCAGGAGAAGCAAAGCGCCGAGAACATTCCTTACCTATCTCCATATCACAGTTCATCATACAGATATGGGAATATACCTGCACATGCAAAACATTATCAAAGCTATATGCAGCTGATCCAACAGAAATCTGCTGTAGAGTATGCCCAAAGTCAGCTCAGCCTAGTGAGCATGTGCAAAGATTCATCGAAGTGTACAGAACCGAAGATGGAATGGAAAGTGAAAATAAGAAGTGATGGAACACGATATATCACAAAGAGACCAGTACGAGACAGAATCCTGAAGGAACGTGCCTTAAAAATTAAAGAGGAGCGCAGTGGAATGACAACGGATGATGATACGATGAGCGAAATGAAAATGGGACGTTACTGGAGCAAAGAGGAGCGGAAGCAGCATTTGGTGAGAGCTAAGGAGCAGAGGCGGCGGCGAGAGTTCATGATGCGGAGCAGGTTAGAGTGTCTTAAGGAAAGTCCACAAAGTGGCAGTGAGGGAAAAAAAGAAATTAACATTATTGAACTCAGTCACAAAAAGATGATGAAAAAGAGGAACAAGAAAATTTTGGACAACTGGATGACAATCCAAGAACTAATGACACATGGTGCTAAGTCTCCAGATGGCACAAGAGTGCACAATGCCTTTCTATCAGTTACTACTGTATGAACACAACTGTTTCAAAGAGTATACTACCAGTTTGGGTAGAGTCTGATTGCCTCGTTCAATGTGGCATTTTTATATATTTTGTGACTGTTTATAGTTTGGCCTTTTTTGTAAGCAAAATAACTTGGTAATTTTCATTTGTTTTTCATATAATGGTACCTTCCTTAGTGGGCAATCTTTCTTTACCATGCAATATATTCATAATATTCATTTATATAAAAAAAGAAAAGTAAAACAAAAAAATGGAGGATCCACTCAATTTCTTACTTTAATGTATGTATTGTAAGTTAAGATCTGGATTTATTTCTATAGTTTTCTTTTTTCTACTTTAGTAAAAATCCAATACCAAAACAAAATGTTTTATACAGTATCCTTGCTTCTTGGCATAACAAGTTGTTAAACTTTTACATGTTAAATTGCATCTGTTAATAAGTCATGTCCTACATCCCATCATATGGATCAGAATGACCTTTTCCAACAACACATTGTACAGTACATTTAACCTGTAAATTGCAATTGTATTTGTCCAAGTAAATGTAGGTGGGCAATTCTCCTGTGGTATGTAGTGGCATAGGTCATGTAGCTAGGTAATATGTGATAACTGTGAAGATGAAAGAGAAATAAATTATTGCTTATCTTTAAGGGGAAAAAATATCAAGAGTTCCTTGAGTGTAATTGATCAGTTTATTTCCACATGCAATTTTTTTTAAATGAAGAATTAAAGGACACAGTGCACTAATCAATATTTCCTATGAAGCAGATACAGCTTTTTCCTACCATTATTTTCTTATAAACTTTATTCAGTAGACCTAGTCTTGCATTTCTTCCTCATACAAAACTTCAAGAGGTTTGAAGTAAGAAAACATAAGAGTATACCTATAAGAACACACATAAGAGCCCAATTTATTACTACTTTCCCCCATTATGTTGTTTTGGTTATTGTTATTAATCAAGTACAATCAGTGTGTTCCAATCTTTCAAACAAGTAAGTCATAACTGCTCATCAAACATACTTTCTCTGGCTTCTTTACCCTAGGGCAAGGTGTCAAACTCATCTGGCGATGAGTGGCATGGGGCTGGTCTGTGGGCCAGTTGGAACTCATAGATCAGCCTGGCAGTCTGGTTCTGGAGTGGGTGCTACATGCAGCACAGTGTTGCTGCAGTCACTCCAGAGCTGTGCAGTATGCCCCCAAAGCCACCACTGCTGCAGGGCGACTCTGTATAGCCTTGATGCCCAAGCCACCTCAAGGCTTCACAACATGACCCTGGAGCCACTGCCACTACCATTTCCATGGGGTTGTGCAGCACAATGCCAGAGCTCCTGCAGGGCTGTACAGCATGCCTGCCACTTGCATACAGCATGACCCCAGTGTGCCACTCATCCAAAAGGAAGTACTAAAGCATGGCGCTGTAGCAACATTGCCATACAGCAACGTGTAGACATACCCTTAGAGTCTAAGTCCTATATCAACATCTGCCTAAGTCATTTGGAAATGCATCAGTTGAACTTTGGTTCTGAAATAATCCAGGTGTTCTTCAAAACAGGCTTTAGGCATGTCATCTAATTAGGGTTAGATTTTTCAAGATGTTTATGTCACTAAAGATTCATCTTGTAGAATTTCAAAGATTATCTGGATTCCTAACTCCCACTTATATCAACAACTGATTATAGATTATCAGTTCTGGAAATCCCACTAGGTATCTGCAATTTAAATTGTACCTTTAGATGCCTAAACCCTTTTAAAATCTGTCCCTTAAGCAATTTTAATGGCACTCCTTGTTGTTTAATGATTTACTCCAATAAACAGAAAAATAAATACTTATCATAGCAATCTATGTATCATACAAGGAATTTTTTTTTCTGAAATATAAAATGTTGCTAACATGTACCTGTTCATATATAGCTGAGAATTGTTTCTGGTTTTCCATATTAAATTCATAGATTACTATATTTTCAGGCCAGGAGAGACCATTAATACTTCTACTGTAGCCTACTGTTTAACAATGATCAGAGAATTTCATCAAGTCTATAGTCAGCCCAGTAAGTTAAGCTTGACAGAAACACAACTTTTCAGAAACACATCCAGCCTTCATTTTAGTATATCAAAATATGGAGAAGTCATTGTTTCCTTTGAGCAGGTTTTTCCAGTGATATGTCACCCTCACTCTTAAAAAAGTTGTCCCTGTTTCCAATTAGAATTAAAATTCCAGCCATTGCTCCTTGTTATGCCTTTCTGTTAGGTTTTTAGCATCCAATATTTTTCTCCCCATAATCAAGTCAATGATTCAGGGCAAGAGTTCCCTAAAACTGAGGAGATCCTATTTCAACCAAAAATTAGAATAGAAATCTGGTGAATTTTAAGGTGATTTAATATCAATATTTAATCACTGAGAGAAAATGAGGAAAATCTGATAAGGTTTGCATAACCTGACTTATAAGAAATAGGAAAATCTGACAGTTTTTATACTAATATTGTCCATTCAGAGAAGCAAATAAGTAATGTTTATGCAAAATAATGTATTAAGAATTTTTAAGTGAAGAGAAATGAACCAAAATCAGTTGAGATAAAATGGAAAGCTAAGGTGTTGTTCAGCAATATTTGATTCTTGAAGAGAAAAGCAGCAAGATCAGAGAGGATTATATTGTCATATTAGAGAATTACACAGAACAGCATGAAAACTGGTTGAGATTTATATCAATATTAGCTGCAAAAACGACATTAAAAAACATTATTAGGGTCGCAAAGTCCAGCACTAGGCTTAGACAAAAGTGCCCAGGTAATACTAATTCTGTTGGTAGAGTCAATATCATATACTGTCATGTTTATTTGCGCTTGGAACCCTGGCTCATTCACTCCTTTCAGATAGGACGTATATGCCCGTGCAAACACAGGGCACCTCACAAATTGTCCTGTAAGGAAGAGAAGAGAGATAGATGGATTAGATTTGAAAATGTATAACCAATCTCCCCTCCTACAAGCACACCTCCCCTTTTATCTATTACCCTCTTCAGATTCCCTTCACTTCTTTTCCTTCCATTTCTGTCTTGTTTTCCACCCACTCTTCCTAAACATCCATTCCAAAATACATGGAAGAAGCCTCACTAGGGCCTGTTCATGGTTTCCTAAGTCCTTCTTCTAGTTTCCTCTCTACAGTATAATTGATTTAGATTATTGACTAACTTCTTTTTTGTACAGGTCTTTGAAGGGTGAGAGAAAAGTGTGTGTGTTTGGGGGGGGTACTTAAATATTTTGATAGCATTTAGTGAGCCAGCATAGCTAAATTCTAACTTTAGATCATAGATTAACCATGAAGAGGTATAACACGATTTTGGGCTGTCATTAGAAGGTCCAGTTGCTGCCCTATTGGACTCACTCTGTCTCCATAAAAATCTGAACTCTATTTTTTCCCTCCATATTAACAATTCTTGTCCAATGAGATGAAAGACTGACATTACTCATGAACTTTTCTTTAAGCAAAAAATGTCATAATTTTTAATGATTAAAATACATGTCTGCATGAAGCTACGTTAAAATGTAGAGAAAATATTTGTCATGTTGTCACAGACTTTTCTGTTGGTAAAAAACAATTTTCTTCTGGAAAGGAACCTAAATAAAAATGCCTTTTAACTAAAAAGATGCCAAATCTTGGGATTTTTTTTGAATATCCAAATCCAGCCACTCAACCTTATTGGGAAGGGGTATCACCTGCCCTCTAACATCCCTCAACTGCCTAATGAGAAATATTGGCTATGGGTATGGGGAAAACTTGTAGGATCCTTGGGACTTTTTAAAAAACGAGAGGCTTCCTACATAGACAATAATCATTTCTTACCAAAATACCTTACATACATAGATGATAAAATACATGTAACTTTTTTCTTGCTCTGGAAGGATATGGACAAATAATCAACTTGATGTGAATTAACAGAGAGAAGGTGCTCACTGTGGAGTTGCTGATGAATGGTAACTATCCATCTCACTGTTCCTGCCTCATGGTAACTGAAAATTAAACAAGGACAACTTGACTTTGCATAATTGCAGGTAAACTGCTATGGCTTAGCTTTCACTTGCCACAGAATAAGTATGACCAGATGGACAATTGCCATACATCAGATGCTTTGCAGCAAATCTATCTGTTAACTTGACGCTATTCAGCATATGCTCTAGGTAGCCTACTGTCATGCTTAACCATCCTCATGATAGGAAACTTCTCTCTACTCTCTGACCAAAATGTCCATTACTGCAATTTAAGGCCATTGCTCCTTGTCCTTCCCCCTGTAACTTTAGTCTGTCACCATCCTCAGTAAAGCTGCTTTGTTCTGTTTGAAGACTGTTAGCAAAATCCACCTCATGTCAATATTGGCTCGTTCTAATTTGTCTACATCTTTCTTGAATTGTAGCACCCCAAACCAGACATGGTACTCCAGGTGAGGTCTCACTAGTACTGAATAGAATAGAAGAATCACATCCCTTGACTTGCAGGTGACACTTCTGTTACTATAGCCTAGTAGGCTACTAGCATTTTTTGCAATGAGCACATTGTTGGCTCATATTCAGTGTAAAGTCTGCTATAACCCCCCAGGTCCTTTCCTGCAGTACTGTAGTCTAGCCAGTCATTCCTCAGTCTGCAGTTGTACCTGCAGTTATTTTGTCCAAAGTGCAGGACTTTGCACTTGCCCTTGTTGAATTTCATTTGATCAATTTTGGACCATTTCTTCAATTTGTCAATGTCATTCTCATCCTAATCCAAGCCCTTAAAGCACTTCCAACAACCTTAGTGTCATCTGAAAATCTGCCACCTGTGCACTCAATCCCATCCTCCAAATTACTGATGAATATATTAAACAGTACCAGACCCAGGGAGCCCTACTTGTTATCTCCTCCCAGTTAGACATTGAAGCACTGATGGCTATTCTTTACTCATGATGTAGCTAATTATGTATCCACCTCACAATGCTTTCATATAAACAATACTTCTTTAGCTTACACAGCTTGCATGAAAGAATGGATTCTAGAATATCTTCCATGATAACAGGAAGTACTAACATGGTTTCACAAAGGTGAAGTTAGAATTATACAAATATTAGTTCAAACTAAGATATGTGCTGAAATTCCTCCACAGTCTAATGTGCAGGCATATTCAGGGTTCATATTTAAGCTTATCTCTTTGTTCATCTCTTTGGGTTGTGATACAGTCAGATCTGGTTGCTTGTAAATGTTTGGAATTTGTTTTTTAAGTTCAAAAGAGTTGAAGATCTTCAATATTAAGGTATTCCAGAAAAAAGGGAATTTTTTGCCATGGAAAACTCATCAATATTAAAGTTGGCTGCCTTATAGACTAAATTGACTGTTGTCTACTAAAAGTCAGATAGTGTACCTCTTACCCCTTTGAGAATTGCTTGCATTTATCTCATGCATTTTGGGTGAATTCAACCATACAAGTACAACCAATGTTTTATGTAGCCTCTTCCTTCAGCAGTGAGCCAATAAGGAGGACAGAGAGCATGTCTACATATGTATTAATGCACTTTTCCTAATGCACGTTAAATTTAGTACCTTCAGTATGAAGTACTAAATAAATGTGCATTAGGCGGTGCTAATGCACAGTAGCGCAAGCACATGCTTTTCAGGTGACACTTAATGTGCAGTAGCCTATTCTACTGCACATCAGCATATTAGCATGGTTTTTTACACTTCTGCTTAAATGTGCAGTAGAATAGGCTGTTGCGCATTAAAGCACATGTGTAGATGTGCCCCGAATTCCTTAAATCTAAGTTGTGTTGTTGTACTAGGTACATTGACATAGAAATACTAAAGTTGCTGTAATGTAAAATGTGGCTATACAATGTTAATAATATGTTGTGTGTTATGTCCCTTCTGCACATTTTTATATATGAACATTTTATTTTCTGTTGAATTTTACAGTGCTGGTTATCCATGTTAGTCTGTTGTCAGGCAAAAGTGAGGGCAGGGTCCTAGCATCAAATGAAGTACAAAAGCTCTTGTTGCCTTTAAAAGCTCATGTATGAACCAGTTAGTATCTAAGGTGTCACTCTGCTAAACCTTCTGTTGATTTAAACCAGAATGTATTCCTTCTACTAGGTTGGATTTATTACTTATTTTTTAATAAATCATTCTGCAATTTTCCTGATTTTAATCTCTCTCAAAGTGGCTTAGCCAAGTCTGCCAATGCAAAACCAACAAGATGTAGATCCCACATCTCTGTTATATTTTAAATACTTCAGTGAATGACTATTTTGTCTTAATTCAGAAGGAAATAACTACCCTGTTATAAGAGTTGGGTGTACAGTAGCACTTGCTCTAAAAATGCATTCCTAACCATGTTTAACATATTGGCAAGTGCTAGGAGCAATTCAGAAATAAATGGCTAGCTCTGCTGACAAAAATTCAAGAGTAGAGAGAATTTTAAGTATAAAGTGAATGTAAGAAACTCATCTCCATAGCGGATAAGAAGCCAAAAAAGAGAATTAAAATTGTATGATAAAAGATGAAAAGGTTGAAGCCACTGTTTTGACTGCTGGACCTTCTGGAGGAGCTGTCTGAAGAAAGAATGAAATAGGAAGTTAAGCAGGGGGAATATCACATGAAATTTACCAGAGATCAAAATATTACTTTTTTTGCACTTCAAAGGCATCCCTCATATTTTCACAGGTTATTTAACCCTGCTGGCAATCTCTCCAATGCATAAATATTTTTGATGGCATGCAAAGTGTCTTTTTAATGGTGTATGGATGCTATACTGTGAGCAGGTTGAAAGGTATAAATATTCATGTCAGCAAAGATGCTGTCAAACTCCTGGCTTGACATGATATCAAAAATTAAAATATAAAAAAGATATTCGGTTTTGTTCCCTCCTTTTCTCCTCAAGTTTGGCACTTGGCTGCATGGTTAGAGTAAAGAAATACCCTCTGGAACACTATGTTTTGGTTCAGGTGTAAGAAATTAAAACGAAATCTCCTCAAACTCGACAGTTTAATTTACTTCTCTTAAGCTCTTTAATACCAAACTTATCAGTTCTCTCTGTTAGGCATTAACTTGTTAAATGAGTCTTAATTATACATAAGCAGATGGAGATTTGAATTAAAATTACCTTACACTCGAGTGGCTTTAGTTCATTATAACATATCTTCCTCTTAATCATTTAGGCAGTCTCATCATCTTTCATATAGAAAGTTATTAAAGTATTCCAATTTCCATATTTCTTCAGACACATCCACTTTTAACCAGCACGTAATGCACATTAGTTGGTGACTTATTCCATGCTATAGTCAGTGAATTATTCATGTCAGTAACAGTTTTTGTACTTTAATATTATCTATATCCTTTTATTTTAAAGGCTTTATATTTACTGGATGCTTGCTATTTCACCTGCCATTTCAAGTGCAGTTTCTAAAGCCACACCATTTTCATAGTGATAAGAAAAGGAACAAGGCACCTTGTTCATTTTATATCTCTGCTCAGTGGAGATCAAGAAATGGAAAAACAGGTGTTTAGTGAAAACATTGGTAAAGGCTGAA